TCTTCCCACCCCCAGCATTTTAAAAAACCCCGGGACAGCGGAGACTTCTCCGCTGTCCGGGGCGATCTTAAAATGCTGGCGGGCGGCAGCGAAGCCTCCGCTGCCGCCCGCCAGCATTTTAAAAAACCCCCGGACAGCGGAGGACTTCTCCGCTGTCCGGGGCGATTTAAAAGCCCCCGGGAAGGCAGGCAGGGGGGAGCAAAGACTTTTGCCCCCCGCCGGCCTTCAGAAGAGGTCCTGGAGAAGAAGGCCGGCGGGGGGCGAAAGTCTTTGCTCCCCCCCGCCTGCCTTCAAAAGCCGTCCGGGATAGCGGAGAAACGAAGGCTGGCGGCGGGAGGAGGTCTCTCCGCCCCGCCGCCAGCCTTCGGAGGAGGTCCGAGGACAGGGGGGAAGACGCGCTGCGCTTCCCCGCTGTCCCGGAGATTTCCCTATGGGCTTTCGTCTTGCGAAGGAAGCCCATAGGGAAATTCGTTTTGCGAAGCGCCTCCAAAACGGAAAACCCTTTCGTCTAGCGGGTTTTCCGTCTTGCAAGGCGTTCGTCTTGCGGGGCACCACTGTAGCTGTTGTGAACAAACATTAAAGGTAAAGGGACCCCTGACCATTAGGTCCAGTCGCGGATGACTCTGGGGTTGCGGCGCTCATCTCGCTTTACTGGCCAATGGAGCCGGTGTACAGCTTCCGGGTCATGTGGCCAGCATGACTAAACCGCTTCTGGCGAACCAGAGCAGCGCATGGAAACGCCGTTTACCTTCCCGCCAGAGCAGTACCTATTTATCTACTTGCACTTTGATGTGCTTTTGAACTGCTAGGTTGGCAGAAGCAGGGACCGAGCAACAGGAGCTCACCCCGTTGAGGGGATTTGAACCACTGACCTTCTGATCGGCAAGCCCTAGGCTCTGTGGTTTAACCCACAGCGCCACCCAGCTTCAAATACAGAGACTGCCTGTTGCTGTCACATCAGCCAACGTTGGCAAAGCACAGGAGCATTGGAAGCTACCTTAAAGCAAGTCAGACTATTTGTGCACCTAGCCCAGAATTACTCTGACAATTTCTCTCTTGGATCTTGGGCAAAGAGGTCTCTCGCGTCGCCTGCCATCTGGCCAAATTTCTGGCATCTCCTGTTAAGAATGAATCTGGGACCTGAAAAACACATTCTTTTCTGATCCCCTTTCAAGTTCAGTCCCTGTTATCTGTGGGTAGGGCTTGCAGCGTCCCCTGTCTGAAGCCCTGGAGATAGACTGCCTGTCTTTGAAGTAGACCAGTGGCTTAGCTCAGTATTGGGCAACTTTTATTGTTCCAGTTGTATTTAAAACTATTCAGAGCCATCACTTAAATGGCTCACAGGACCTGGTAAGCCATCTGCGGAAGGCTTAATCTTATGTGTTGTTTGCAAGAGGGATCTCATGAACTCCCTTCTATCTTGCCGGGCCTCTTCATGCTCTTCCATCTTGCCCTTGTCTCAGCCCTTTCTTCCATGGCTCCCCAGGACCTGCTGGGCATTGTAAGGAAACAGTGGCCACCAAGCAGCCAGTGGGATTCAGCAGCAGTATGGCACTCACCCAGCCAGTACATCGGGATTAATTTATTAAATTTATACATTGATTTTTGGGCAAGATTTGGCTTACGACAGTTAAAATCCAGCAGTCGGGTACAATAGGGAAATGTAGGTAGGTGCGATCTCTCATTTCTGGTCCCTGATAGTTAACATGTTCCAGGTTCCATCTGTTCCTTCCAGAGGAAGGGGACAGAATGTGCGATGGGCTCTGTCTGTTTCTGATGGTGAAGAGATGAATCCGCCAACTTGGATCTTCCTTTTATCTGCAGGCGCTTCCGTCCCCCTGGCAATGAAACACTAGTGGAGCAACCATTGTTCACATTTTATAATGGAAACATTCCAAACTAGGTGCTTGGCCTGAATCTTTAGGCAGCCCTCTGACTTAAAAAGAATGTGATGAAATCGTCACAAAAGGTTGTCTCTGGGATGCACCATTTATTTGAGTTTATAGATTTGGCTTAACCCCAGGCAGTTAGCTATATCAGGTAACAACAATTTCTTCCTTTCTTCTTTGTGAAAGGAACAAGTCTCCGAAGGGCCCGCAATCTAAACTTGTACATGTCTCCTTTAGACGCTCCAAATGTCAAAAGCATGAAAAGCGTTGGACTTTGATGGAGTACAAGCTTTGATATCTCTGTTTGGTTTAGGCACAAGAACAGTAGCTCTGCACGTCGTCTTTTTCAGGTTTTCCCATCTCCCTCTTTTTAATATGCCTGTATCACCCCCTTGATGTGTCAGAACTCCTAGAAGTGAGTAGGGCTGGTTACGAGGAAGATGATGGATGAAGAATGTTTATTCCTTCCTTGAGCTCAGCAAGCTAAATTTAGTGAAGTTTTTGGAGATAAAGGGAATGCTTCATCTTCTAAGGATGAAGACAGGGGCAGAAGAGGGGTGGAAGCATCCAATTATCACTTAAGAGAAGCATTTTTCCCTAATCTTGATTTATCAAAAACCCAATTTGTTCTGTTTAGATGGTGTGGCTTCCTTTTTAGATTTTCTTCCCTCTCCGCCTTCCTTTTGAATCTGGCCAAGATTGCTTTTATGTTACTGGGAGCTTCTCAGTTTGTGAATATAAAATTAGAACTTAATAACAGCCTCATAAATAGGTTCACACAAGTTATTAGCAAACAAAATTTTACTGGATGGCAATTCAGTTTATGTTACTCATGGCATAGGGTGGAAGGAAAAGAATCTTCTTCTTCTTCCTCTTCTTTTAAAAAAGCCTAACAGCACAAGAAGAGGCTGCTGGATCAAGCCAATGGCTCAGCATCCTATTCTCACAATAGCCAGTCAGATGCAAAGTGGGAAAACCACTCTTTTCTCTTGCCATTTCCAGCATTGGTATTAGAAGCATTACTGCCTTCAACCATGGAGGCAGAGCATAGCATTCATGACTTGTAGTCGCCACTTGCCTTCTCCCATGCACCAGAAAGAGGTCACACAGAGAATGGTGACTTCCATCCCTGAGCTGATCCACTAGATCTTGATAGTGTCGTCGTGCTTTCCTCAAGTTTTTATTTCCTAGACTTTCGTTCATCATGGACTGAGCGAGTTTCAGCAGCTCAGCCTCCCCCATTTCCTTGCCTTGGAGGTTGTCTGTGGGCCCTGCTGCCTAGCAGGCAGAGGTCGAATGTTGAATGAGGGCAGCAAATGCCACCTGAATAATCATGGCACCATAGGACTGCCATGTTTGTATCTCTTATACCAGACTTTAAAATGTGGCTTTGATTTTATTCCAATAATCTTTTGTGGAGCAGCTTTGAGAGCCTTGGGGGAGCTATATAGAAGCATTCCAAATAAAATCCATACTGGGGTTTTAAAATAACATTGAGCATCTTGCTGGTACAGTAAGGCTTCATTAATGGAATTTTATTTTATCTCGCCCATCATTTAAGAAGCACCTGATAGCATAGTCTTCTCTCTCACAAGCACAGACACACACAATATTATCCTCACATACCCATTATTGCCTCCAAACAAGACTGTAAGGTCAGTTAAGCTAAGAAAGGGCAAAAGCAAAAGTTGACCCAGCCCTCCCAAACCTCCTCTTCCGTCTCCCCTTAAGATGCAAAGCCTTTCCAAGTAGTTCAGAAAAAACAGGCATAGCTTACTACCTTGTAAATGCCACGTATTCATGTGCCCTGTGCAAAGTACTTAATGTGGAACTTTCATTTGGGTTGTCTCTTTATCCTCTGTGTACCCTTGAGAAGTCAGGGTTCCCATATCCCCCTGATTCGATATCTGCCCGTTGCATCTGAATGCCATTTTCTGGGAATCTTGGGTGGAGAGAGAGCTGTGGTGCTTGGGTCTGGCTTACGGGCTTGTTGTGGGCACCTGGTTGGCCACTGTGAGATCAGGATGATGAACTAATGGATCCAAACTACAAGAAAGAAGATTCCACCTAAACATTAGGAAGAACTTCCTGACAGTAAGAGCTGTTCGACAGTGGAATTTGCTGCCAAGGAGTGTGGTGGAGTCTCCTTCTTTGGAGGTCTTTAAGCAGAGGCTTGACAACCATATGTCAGGAGTGCTCTGATGGTGTTTCCTGCTTGGCAGGGGGTTGGACTCGATGGCCCTTGTGGTCTCTTCCAACTCTATGATTCTATGATTCTATGATTCTAACTAGGTGGGCCTCTGGCCTAATCAAGAACCAGGCGCTGCTTCTGATAGATGAATTGCTGAGACTAAGCTGGGAGGTGAATGCATATAATTAGCAAAGTCTAGGGAAACTTTTCTCTCTTGGTCCTTCAGAGCAATTAACATTTAATTGGTACTGCCTGTGAAAGCAAAGGCAGGGGATTCTCAGGCCTTGTAAACAGCCATTTGCCTGCTTCTTAATGGCAGGTGGAAATTTGCCTCCTGGTCCTGACAACTAGGCTGGCAGGCGTCTGTGAACCAGAAGAACAGTTAGGAGGCCACCAACATGGCAGCATCCCAGTCGTCGTGCGCCTGTTTTTCATGCAAAAGCTCCCAGTTATCAGTCTCCAGCATCCCCCACCAGTCAGAGCAAACAGTCCAGGGCTGGAAGGACAAAGCTGGACTCGGCATAAGGCAGCTTCTTGTGTTTCCTGGTGTGGCTGACTGAGCTCGCTAAAATCTGCTTAACGTCCATGTTGAGACTTGTGCACCAGCTCAGCAAGGCTGAGCAAAGCTGCTGCAGTTTGTAATCTGAAGTGCAAACTTCTGTAAAGTCTTCAGGTCTGTCTCCTGGCTGGGAGGGAGGACAGGCTGAGTGTGTTGTGTGTGCTGTCTGAAAAGCCATTTCTGTTTTTGGTCATTCTCTCTCCCTGTCTCGTATTGATCTGGTATAGCTGAGTGCTGCACCCAGTTGCTTTCTGCTCCCAATGAGGTTTTTATCGGCGACGGTGCCAGGCAGTTGCTGTTCCCATCTGCAACCTCATTGATTCCGGGTGTGGAACAGGCTCTGCTTTGAGCCCAACTGATAAGGCTCCCAGTTTCTTAGCAACCACACATGTCTTGCATGAGCAGAAGCTTGTCCTACTGCAGTAGCAGTGACAATCCTGAATGTCTCCAAATTAGCACCATTTTTTAAAATGAAAAACAAGGTAAGGTGCCTGCTTTTCCCCCACCCACCCCCCTTGAGATCTTTGGTCCACGATTCTTGTGTGAAGTGGGGATTATGGGAGCTCTTTGTACGTTCTCTGCAGCTGAACTATTTCTCTTTCTTTCTTTCTTTTAGACTTCGCTCCTTATTTAGTATGGCTGTGCCATGTGTTCTCCTCCTAACTGTTCTTGGGGTGGAAGTAAACAGCAAATCCTCTGACAGTTTGGTATGTATTTCGCAGTGAATTAAAAACCTCTAAAAACAAGGCTAGTTCTAGCCTTTGAGTCCTGTTGCCTATCCAGAATCTGAGAAACACGGTGACCTCTGCTAGTGTGTGAAAACTGTCAAGATCCAAGGATCCCCAGGCATGCACCTCCAGATGATGGAGAAGTCGGGCGCCATTCTGGCACCTGGGCATCATCACTAGGTCACAAGTGGCCAATAGCCAGGTGCAAAATGCGCCCGGCAAATTTTGAACACCCGTCACAGCAAGCAACATCTTAGAGCCAGGGTGGGGATATCTGTGACATGCCAGTTTTTGATAGGCACTGTCCTTTGGCAGTGGTCACTGGGACACATGGGGATTGGAGTCCAACATCTGGAGAGTCAGAGGTTCCCCACCTCTATATTAGAGTAGTCTCTCCTATGTGTAAGTGAAGGAGAAGCCCCTCTTTTAAGAATGCACCTCCCAGGCATGCACTTGTAAATATTAGATCATGCGGGAGGATGCCAGTTCTTTTTAACCAGGTTGGTATGAGCCATTGAAATATGGTTGAAAGCTGGCGAGCATTGCCTAGTAAGTTTCCAGAAGCCAGATGTGAGCTAAGCATGACATCTAGGGTAGGGGAAGCAGGGACTTGGTTTTGTGCATAGCCATCTGTTCACCTGTTCGCAGTGGTGGCTGGTGTCCATCGGGACGAGGAGGGTGTAAGGTAGGGAGCCCAACAGTGGGTGGAGCCAGAACCAATGACAGGTGCAAATGCAGCCAATGGCAGGCAGAGCTACCTGATTCTGATTTTGACCCCATCCTTCTCCTCCCTGCTGAGTTCTACACAAATAGCATCTGAGACTGAGGAGGATAAAGCTGACTGCCAGGGCCATCCCTGGACTGGCTGATATTAAGAAGGCAGGCAGGTTGTCTGAGGTTGGTGGGGCAGTGCCCCCCGCATTTGTCCTAATGGGCCAGCGTCTACCATCTCTCCTGCCCCATTACTGGTTAGAAACAGCATTAAACTATTCAACATATGTAGATCTCTGCAAATCGGCTGGCTTTGCATGCTTTATGCTAGGGGGAGCGGACTCTCCAGATGTTGTTTGGCTGCAGCTCCTATAATCCCTGGCCTTGGGCCATACTGAGGCTGATGGCAGGTGTAGTCTAGCAACGTGGAGGGCAGCACGTTGACTACCACTGCTTTATACAGTTCTTGCGGTCCAGATGTCCTTATTACAGGATTATTTTAAAATATATATATATATGACAATATTTGCACACTCCTCATTTATAAACTGTGCAAAGTGGGGAATCTTTCTCCTCTGAAACAGAGCAACCTAGCCTGCACATCTGTAAAGTAATCCATATTATGCTTTCTGTGTGTGCCGTTCTGTGTCCTCCTCCCCTTCTGTCCTTCCACCAGATGGATGAAGCCTGCCCCAATCATTACAGGTTTGATTTACAAAGCCGATCAAGGCTGAGTGATACACTCTTTCCCCCATGTGTGCTTTTAATCTCCTTTACCTGTTTGTTTGCGGGTGACTCATCATATTCATCTTGATTTAGAGCCTCCAGGGAAGAGGAGGGTGGGTTACTTGTACTGTACAGTAACAGAAGAATTCCCTGAGCTGCAAGCTTGTAGTCTAATTTTAGAAAAACCTGCCCTCTTTCGCTGAAGAAAATCCCGTTCCCGGTAAGAGGATAGCCGTTCATAGCAACGCCTCACGATCTCACCAGGTCGTTATTAAGTTGCTTCCAGATACAACTCAAAAAGGGTTGGTTCTAACCTTTTCTGAAAGCCCTAAACTGTCTGGGTCCAGAATACCACCTCCTCCCAGACAAACCTGCCTGGCGTGTTAAGATCTTTTACAAATACCTTTTTCTATCCAGCCACCCATTTCACCTCTGAAGGTCAGGGTTACCAGAGGTGGGGTCTTGGGAAAGGAACTGCAGCTGAGCAGTTCTTTCCTGCAGGAGATCTAAGGTTCATAATCTGCCTTCGCCTATTTAAACCATGCTGGACTCACTGCTAAGCCAGGAGTGTTTTTCATTGAGGTTGTATTTGGGCCTTAAATTATTTTAAAATCTTGATTTAATTGTTGTAGTGGGGTTTGTGGCTTTTTTTAAGTGGAGTATAAATGTGCTAGATTATGAATAGGGACTACTTCCCAAGATGTGCTCTACCTTGACTAAGAACCCAGAACAGATTGTTGTCTCCTCCAGACCAGGAGTTGGGAAGCTGAAGTCCTCGGGTTAAAATGCAGTTCTCTCTGTCTGGCCCTGGATACGCTCCCAAGCCACGCCTCCTTCTCAGGCCACACCCTCTCTTCCTAGGCCACACCCCTCACTGCTTCTGATCTGTACCCGCCTCAAGTGCTTTTGTGTGGCTAGAATGTGCCCTCGAACTGGGTGATCCCTCTTGCTTGCCTCTTGTTGACCGCTGGAGAGGTGTGGGTGTAGATGGGGGGGTGGGGATATTGCCTACTCTACAAGTTTCTCATCACTTGTTATGCCCATGTTTGCCTCTGGTGCCCACCCACCACTGGTATGCCCCCCTGCCCAAGGTTGCCATTTCACCCGTCTGAAGCAAGAGACATTTGAGATAGTAAATTTTTCATTTGTAATTTTTATCTGTGAAACAGGCTATAGTATTTCCGCAAAGCAGCTTAGTCCCCGCTTAAAATTCAACGCACAGTGCCAGTGGCAGGTGCTGTGTCTAAATGAAATTATTATTTATTTAGTCGGCAAATTTCATAGCCTGCTTTTCCGCAATTGTTCTGGCGGCAGGTTACTGTTAAAGCGGGGTTGGGGAAGTACCAATAAAGTTGCAGCGATAGCAATAAAACATTGTCAAGGGAGAGAAGCAAAGAAAGAGCTTGGCAATCGGGCAGCACCTTAGTCATAAAAAGGCTTGCCTGAAGAGACCTTGACGGCTCACTTGAAAGGGCCACGTCTCCCGAAGTTGTCTCGCCAAGCTCAGTGGCGGGTTTCTTAGTAATTGGAGTCTCTCATGTCATTGGAAATTTCCTTGGCTCCAGCTCCATAAAGCTACTTTTTAAGAAGCATGCTAATTAATAATTAGCAAGGATCTTCAGTGGTGGAAGCTTCACTTTTCTGAACCCTTCAAGGAACAGTTTTATGGAGAGATCTTAGGCCAGTTTCCTGTCAAATAGCAAAAAGGATACATATGGTTTATAGATACTGTCTGTCATGACTGTCTGGGCGCATCTCTGCATATTCCAGAAAGGAGCAGCTCCCTTGCCAACGTGTGTGTGAGTGTGCGTCCGTGCAAACATGTGTCCTCCTCCACAACCTCATCCCTTGTTTCAAAATGTCATGCATGTTGTTGACAAGAAATGTATGGCATCCGCCTTCTCGTCACAGCGTTTTTGCCTGAAGAAGAGCTGGCGTGTTGTTGCTTCCCCCCCCCCCCATGTTGTGTTGGCACTTTTGCATGCACCCAATGAACATTGGAAAAGCATAATCTTCCACTCATGCTCTGCTTGCGTGTTCTGAAAGTACGCTGAACCCCTTGCTCCTACTTCCTCTGGTTCTCCGCTTGTCTTCAGCTGCCATTTTGGATGGGCCATTTCAGAGCGTGTGGATCCTATTTCTATAGCATGGTTAGCCAGTCAGACCCAGTGGCCCAAGCTGGGAGTTTGTGACACTCTGGCACAGGGTTAGGGTTATGCATAGGAAGCTGCCTTCTACCGAGTCAGATCATTGGACCATCAATCTCAGTACTGCCTGCACTGACTGGCAGCCACTCTCTGTGGCTTCAGGCAGGGAGTCGTTCCCAGCCCTATCTAGAGATGCCAGGGATTGAACCTCAGGTCTTCTGCATTCAAAACAGATACTCTGCCAATGAATACTACCTTCCCCTGCTCCCCACTTGGCAAACATAGAACAGGGGTGAAAAACAGTCGGTTGGGTTCTGTTGGTAGATCTCTGGATAATTTGCAATAGGCCGGCAAAGGGTTTCTGTCTCCCAATTGGTCTAACAATTGGCACAACAAAAGGGGCTTTTCCTTCTCTCCCGCCCCCTTGCCCCCTGCTGAAATGAATGAACCTGGGGACAGGATTACAAAGGGTGGGTTTGTAGCAGGAAAAGGTGTGGTGTGTGTACACAGCCTGGATCAGCAACACCTGCAGACCCACAACTTCCTCTGGTGAAGGTGAACAGGACTTGAAAGCAAGGCACGCCCATCCTTGAGCATCCACAGATTCTCCTCACCAGTTAGCTGTGACTGCATACAGGAGGAACTGCTTGGTCTTTCCCTGAAAAAGATTCTCACCTCTTCTTCGTGTGCATAAATGGTTGTGCAAATCTCTGCTGTGAGAACCCAACTTGGGGAGGGGGTGTTCATTCCAGATGTGAAGATCCGCCCTGTGAGAATGAATCGTTCTTGTTTTCTTTCTTTCCTCCTACTGCTGAATGTTTTTAAAGGCACCCCTTTGGGAAAGGTTGTGCTGTGTACACTTTGCAAGGAATACTAGTCTGTAAGATTTTCCTCCACACACAGTTGTTACTCAACCCCTCCCCCCCCCAATCTATGTTATTCATGCTTGTGTGTGGGTTGTGAGGCTCCCCTCTACTTATTAGGCAATGTCATGAAACTGGAGTTCAGCTGAGTTTGCGCTCTCGGTGTAAAAGTGAATGGAATTTTTTACATGAACTGAGAATCTTTATTTTTCTCTCCCCTCTCCCTCTCTAGGAATCAGAGTTAGAATGTTGTATGGATGCAGTGGAGACCAATACCACCTGTCTAGCCGAGAACCAGTGCAGTCCAGGTAAGTTATTGGTGGTTGTTACGCACTAATCCAGTGGTTCCCAAACTCCTTTCCCTACAGGCCACTTGAAAATGTCAGAGGGTCTTGCTGAACCGCTTAATGATTTCTCTTCCCACTTTAGCCATCGTATTGCACTCTGTATGGATTTTAATTGCACTTTTAAGCAGCTGCTTTTGTTTTTCTATATTGTATTCCTCAGGAATTCCTCCTCAGGAATACAATATATAAGAAATAAAAGAAGCAATAAAAAGGAGCATTTGTGGTTCTTCTTTCTACATTTTTATCCCCGCAACAGCCCTATGAGGTAGACTAAGCTAAATGATGGGGATTGGCCCAACATAAACCTAGGTCTTAAACCAGAGACTCCCCAGCCTTAATTGGATAACTTTTGCCCTGTGGTGATGTATGTTAGGGCATCAGGAGACTGCTCCCAGACAAAGCTGCAGTAAAGACCCACATATTTAGTTGCAAGCCTCTTCTATCTAGCCTTGCAGACTCTTCTTCTAGGGTAGGGAAAAGCAGAGTACAAACTGATCCTTTAGGTGCTTGTCTGGCTTAATTATATTAATTCTATATCACAGCAATTACGTCCACATGCTTTTGCGCAACCAACCCTGCGTACAGCCACTTGCCACAGCCCAGAAATACAATTTTCCAAAGAATGAGCTGGTAATTTTTGCTGAGCGTAGCCTTGCATCTTGGGCACGGTAGGGGAGATAAGTGGCAAAGGGACTTCCAGGCAAACGACCAAAGAACGTGTCAGAAAATTCTGGTTGACAAATCAGTGGCCCCTTTTAAAACTAAAAATTTAATAAATTGCTAGCTGCCCCCTGTCTTGGGTTACATTAATGTTGCAACATAACCTTTGAGGTTTTGTTGTTGAGAGTGATGTATCGAGGAGGGGAGCTGCTGAACAGTTGCCAATAAATTCCAGATTTCGGTTTTTCATATATTTCAAAAGGTTAATCGATCACAATCTTCAGTGCCACTAAAAGAGCTTTGTTGTCATTTTCTCCTTCCTTTTTTTATATTACTGTCAGATAGCTTTGCCCTCCCAGTAGGTCTGTTTTTATGTTTAGATTAAATGTCAGATGTAATTTATCACCAAGGGTATCTAATGTGCCGCTTCCAGCTGAGGGAAGCGGAACAGCCGTGTTTGTTTCCCAATCAGTGCCTCGCTCATCACGTGCTTTATGGAATAATTGATCCCCATCGCTGGCTGCGGAGGGCTGGCCTGGTGAGGCTACTAGGCAGCCGGTTTGGGCTCCTGAGATCAAAGCAGCAGCTCTCCATGGCTGATGCACTCCAACCATTTGTCCAGAAAGGTTGAATGGGGAGGGGGGGAGAGATAGCTTTGCCCTCTTCTGTGTTGCATTGCAGAGTGCCACGTTAAAGTAAGGACAGAGCCCCCTGAGGAGCTTACAAGTTATGGGCATAGCTGTCAACGTTTCCCTTTTTTTTAAAGGGAAATTCCCTTATTCCGAATAGGATTCCTCGCAAGAAAAGGGAAAAGTTGACAGCTATGGTTATGGGCATAAGAACTCCCCTGCAGGATTTACCGTATTTTTTGCTCTATAAGACTCACTTTTTCCCTCCTAAAAAGTAAGGGGAAATGTGTGTGCATCTTATGGAGCGAATGCAGGCTGTGCAGCTATCCCAGAAGCCAGAACAGCAAGAGGGATTGCTGCTTTCACTGCGCAGCGATCCCTCTTGCTGTTCTGGCTTCTGAGATTCAGAATATATATTTTTTTCTTGTTTTCCTCCTCCAAAAACTAGGTGCATCTTGTGGTCTTGTGCATCTTATAGAGCGAAATATACGGTAATCAAAGACCCACCCAGACCAGTGCTTTGCCTACATTAGGGCAGCGAGATGCCTCTGTGAAGATCACAAGCAGCAGATAAAGGCAGTAAGCCTCCCCTCTTTGTTTCTTGCTAAGAAGGGATGAATGCTTGGGATGAGTGGAGTTGCTCTAGAACAGGCATGTTCCAAAGTGCGTTTTGGGGGTCTAATCTGGTCCTCCAGTTAATTTTACTTTATGGTAAAATTGTAAAAAAAGCTCAACAACTTCAATCCCCATGCATCGGCCCTCACGCATGTTCACTTCATCAAATGTGGTCATCTTTGAAAAAAGTTTGGGCACCCCTGCTCTCGAACTTGGAACTCTCTCCTTTTTACCCAGCATCCATTCTGACCTGGGGCTTACAGGGCAATAATAGCACACAAATCCATCAGGTTCTGGCAGCTCATGGGGCAAGTCTTCAGCCACTTTCCAAAGATGAATGCAGTTGTTACATTCGCAAGGAGTGTGGTGGACTCACGTGTTTCTCAAAACGAAAGGGGCTTGCCTTCTCCACCCTGCTTTTGCTGCCTGCCTCATCAGCAGTGAAGGCGGAGACATTAGGGCAATTGGCATTGCCCCACCAACCTCAGCCAAACCCCGCCTGCTTGCCCATTTTTTACAACTGGTGAGGGACGGATTCTGTCCGTGCTTGGCTCTGCCTCCAGCTCCTGCTGACACCCCTGCTTTCTGCACAACGGGCACCAACAACCACAGCTAACTGCTGTGTTTTGCAGGGAAAGAACCTGCCGTAGGTGAAAATTTGAAAACATTGCCGGGTGCGCCTAAACCTCTCTCCATCCTCTGAGTCGGGGCCCTCTTGCTCACGAAACTATTTGAATTCTGTCGCTCAGACCTCATGCAAGTGTCCCAGGCGCTATTGCAAGGAGCTATGAGGAAATGGGCCTTTGGGGCAGTCAGACGAATGAAGTGGATTTCATCCGATGCTTGTTTCTGCATGAAAGGTACTTCTGAGGCCTCTTCTTTTTTTACTCTTCTCATTCTGCCTTCATCCTTTTGTTCCCCACCCCCTCGCATGCAGGCTGCTACAGGCGGTGGAATGAAGATGGCAGCAGCAGCTGCATCAAATGTGATAACGAAACTGTCGCTGCCACGCCGGCGTACAACCTGACTGACTGCCGAAACAGTAAGCCAGCTGTGCAGCGTGCTCTTCCCCGATTTGAGCCTTTATAGGAAATGCCTTCATAGGGGCGTCTTTCTGTGCTTCCCTTACTTTAGACTTCTAAGTTTGGAGAAAAGGTGCAGAACAGGTGACACAGCAGAGGTGTATGAAGTCATGTGTCGCATGCAGAAAGTGGATAGGAAGACTTTCCCTCCCTCTCCCATAACACGGGAACTTGGGGGCATCCAGTGAAGCTTGGGAGATTTGGCACAGGCAAAAGAAAACACTTCTTCACACAGCACATGGTTAAACTGTGGAACTCCCTCCCACTGGAGGCAGTGATGGCAGCCAACTTGGATGGCTTTAAAAGAGGATTGGACAGATCAATGGAGGATAAGGCTTATCACTGCGATGGCTGTGTTCTACCTCCACAGCCAGAGGCGGTATTCCTCTGAAGACTGTTTGCTGGGAATTGCAAGAGTGGAGAGAGCTGTTTCACTCAAGCCCTGCCTACAGGCTTCCCAGTGGTTTGCCGCTGTGAGAACAGAATGCTGGATCCTGATGGGCCTTTAGGCTGATCCAGCTCCAAGGCTCTTCTTAAATTCCTTCTCAAGCATCCTGTTGATGCCCTTATTCTCTAGATTGCTTCCTCCCAACCATCCAACAGAGGTCACTACAGAGCACTTTTAGGCTTACTTTCCTGAGATACAGTTGTTCAAAGTTGTAATCATTCTTCTATTAGCCATGCTGCATATTTCCTATAGTGCCATCCATGCACATGGTGCATTACAAAGAGCAGGTGTAACAGATGCTTGGGGGTGTATCCAGAGTCTCTTACTCTGAGTAGGCCCATTGAAATTAGTGAAATGACCATGAGCTGGGAAGCCTCTCAAGTTTATATCCTATCTTATCCCTAGACGGCCTTAAAACAGACAAAGCTTAGCTTCAACCCTCTTTTTCCCACTTCACATTAGCCGCAGGGGGAAATTACTGGCTGCTTTACACTGGGAGACAATGGGAGGTGCTCCCAAATGTTCCAAAGTGACATAGAGAGAGAATTGCAAAAGTAAGACCGGTATGTGCTATGAATACCAAATCAACACTAGTCATGGGGAGGGGGGAGGGAATGTGTTTAGTAAATAGCAGTCCAGTGGCTCCTTAGTAGAGCATCACCTGCTTTGCATGTCAGAGGTTCCAGGTTCCGTCCCTGAATTATCCAAATATGGTTGGATATCTTGGAGAGTGGCTGTCAGTCAGTGTAGACAATACTGAGTTGGATGGACCAATGGTTTAAGGCAGCTTCCTTTGTATCTTTCAAGGAGGGGAGTCTCGGCCTGTTGCATTATACGTAAGCACAAAACCTAAAGCAGACGGAAGGGCGGTGTGTGTGTGTGTGTGTGTGTGTGTGTGTGTAATAGGTAAACCACTTCTGACTTGAACCTAATGTGAATTAGGTAACGCTTTTTGCTCCTCTCCCCCACTGGTTCCCTTGTAGACGGTGGCAGAGGAATGAATTCTCAGATGAATCTAACTACCGTAACCCCAGTTACTCTGGGTGTAGGTGAGTAATTCTGGGAAGTGGGCTGCATATACTGAAGGGGGTTGTATCAGAAAGGGCTGCTGACACCCCAGTGTTTGTTCAGGTAGCTATGGCCTTGAACCATCCGCAAGGCTACTTCCATTTTGCCCCACACCTTCGCACCATCTGAGCCAGGTCAGCGGACTCAATTGCTCTGTTTGTGAATTCCCCCTTCTGTTAATACTTCTGTTGCTTTAAGGCACTCATACCCACCTCCCATCCCACCTCAGGGAGATTTTCTCCCAGTTTGCTTCTGGAAAAGGAAATGGGATATAGCACCCTTAAACAGACAAATTTGGAAATGAACAAACCTCCGGAGTCCAGACTGCATCCATCATCTCTGACACTTCTTTTTATTTTTAACCATTAAAGATGAAATTGCTCCTCTTCTAACAAAAGCATGTGTCCTGCTGTTGGAAACCAGTTGCTGCCACCCCCTCAAAAAAAAAACACCAACCCTGTAGATTGTGTCTGACACATAATTTCATTGTGTATATTTGTTGATTTTACCTGGTTTTATAATCTTCTTATGCCTTTTTAAAGTCTGCTTTAATTGCTTGTTTTTAATGAACACATTGCACCGTTTTATGGGAAATGGCTTATTTATGTGTGTGTTTGTTTTTGTTTGATGGAGTGACATATACATTTTTTCTGAATAAATAGTGACAGTTGCAGGGACCCAGTTTTGCCTGTGACGATGCTAGGAGGCCTGTTCAGCCTCTCTCCTGTCTCTCCCTCACAGGGAGCCCAGAAGTAGCTGCTTCTCTTATCTTTGGGACGTTTGTCATCAGCCTCTTCCTCATACTGTGCGTTGCTTCGTTCTTCTACCTCAAACGTGCCAACAAACTTCCAAATCTCTTCTACAGAAGGAGCAAAGGTATGCTGCATCTGTCGCTTCCATCTTTAGCCATTTTTTTTGGGGGGGGGGGTTGGATGCAGATCAGCCTGTTGGCACATCCCATCTTTCTTCCATCATGGAACTCAGGATGGCTTATGTGGGTCACCCAGGAGGCATTATGTGGGTCTCCCACCTAGGCATTAACCAGACCCAGGCCTGGTTAACTCTCAGCAAGATGCAGTGCCATGTGTCCTCAATCCATGCCCTAGGATAAGTCTTTCCCCAACCTAGTATCCTCCAGATGTAGTTGAAGTGCAGCTTCCATCATCCCTGGCCATTGCCCATCCTGCCCGAGACCGATGGAAGTCGCATTTCAGTACACTTCAGTACAGCAAAGGAGGCTCAGCTTTCAAGTTAGACTGTTCCACTGCCAAGCAGTTCTTAGTGTTGAGACATTTAGCCGAAGTCTACTTCCTTGCAAACTCCCAGCCTTCACTTCTAGCTCTGCCATCTGGAACAAGAGAGAGCAGGTTTTGTAGCAGTGAGTTCCATGAGTTAAATACACAGAAGCAACACTTCCTTGTTCCAGTCTTTGGGGATTTGAGCTGACCAGAAGTACTTCCAGGTCATTTTGAAACAAGCATCCAGCATAGGGCAGCTTTGTGTGTACAATTCCTGCAACTGACATTGGACCAATTAGATCACTAATACTACTACTCTCTCTTTTCTAACCCTTCCTCTTTAGGGTCTGTTGTACAGTCTGCTGAATCAGTAAGTAAAACTCCAGCCTTTATAATTAATCTTGCTTAACAGGAGTAGCAATAAGTCTGGGTTTCTGGACACAGGCTTCAGGCTCCATAAAAGCTCTGTTTAAGAGCACCAAAACTAACAACAGTTGATCGCTTCTGTTGAAACCATTCCCAGTTCATCTGTTTTGCGGTGGTGGGTTACTGCTTCAGTCTGATGACTGAATTGTAGCAGAACTGTGTTTCAGCTCTCAAATTTGTGCTTGGTGTGGGGCAGTTCCAAGAATGCAGTTTCACTGAAATTGGGGGAAGTTAATGCAGCTTTGGGGAGGACTGTACCACCTTAGAGGTGTGCACATATATGCGTGTAGAATCGGCTCTCAGATACACTGGAAAGTTTGGAGGAAGTCATATGAAACTTAGAAGAAAGTTCACTACCCCGAAACTTCTGAGATACCCTAATCTTCATTCTTATCTTTTAAGGCATTCTTATCTTTTCAGGCATCGATGTTATCTCCACCGTCCTCAGGTAAGAATTCCACCCCCCACCCCATTCCTTTGGTTTCTGCTAAAAGTCCCTTTTGTCAAGTGGCGGCAAGGAAAAGGAAAACTGAGAGCCCTTGCCTGGAAACTTTATTTTTAAACAGATATACGGCCTCCCCCTTTTAGAGTGCCATTTTTGTTTGCATCTTGATTTGTGGAGAGTTCCTTACAATAATCGCCTAAAAACCAAAACCTTTCTCGATGACACCTTGCGGCATTAACACTGCTAATCAGGCCCCTCTCCGGTCATAAATGCAAAGCTTATATTGCCTCGTGAAAAGGTTCTTTCCCCCCGCTTTAATAGCATATTTGGTACTTAAGGGGGGTGTGCTTTAAAAGTAGATGGATTTCAGGCAGCGAGGGGTTTTATGGGCGCTTGAGAGAGAATTACTGAGCTGGTCTGGGCTTCTCGCAGCTCAGACTGTCTCCCGGGTTCCCAAGTGGCTCATTCTTAGTCTCAGTGGATTGAAATGTGTCGTACAGCTCAGAATAGATGACAGATGGAACACAAAAAATATAGGGGGTGGTTTGAGTTCTTCCCACCCCGCCCACCCATGATTTCTTTTCTTCTGCAAAATAATTATAAAAAGCACCTGATGCTCGAAACCATTCCTATTCCCTAGAAGTGCATGTAGTCTAATTGGAATATATTTCTTCTTTAAAGCTTGTTCGTACAGGAAGCCCTTGCACATAATGATTTTTCTAAAACAAAAAAGTGTGTGTTTTATTTTTCCATTTATATCCCACCTTTTCTCCTAAGCTGCTCACTGTCTGGCATACATGGTTCTTCCTCTCTTCCAGTTTATCCTCACAGGTTAGGCTGAGAGACAGGGACTGTTTTGTGGCAGTTTTGAACTGGGGATTTGACCCCTAGTCTGACACTCTTAACTGCTATACCACCCTGGCTTTCAGAGTTTTTTGGGGGGTGGCTCTTAATCCAGAAATCCTTTCTCTGCCCCCTACCTTTTATATTTTGGGTCAGCGCTTTCTTGTGATGCAGTAATCACAAAATCAAAAAAAGGTGTAGGTGAGTCAGATATTTGGCAATGGAAGCCAATTGTCTTTTCAGTGCCTGCTTGAAGGGCTACTTCATCCAACAAATGCTTTTTGGAGAGATCTTTCCCAGTCTGCCTCTGTATTGGAATTTGTTTTTCAGATGTGTTAATTGTTTTTATCGAGAGCGACAGTCAGTGTAGACCCTACTGAGCCAGATGGACAAATTTGACTGGACACCGTGCACTTCCTATGTTCCTAGCAAGCACAGCCAGATATGGATGATGGGAGTTGTAGTCTTTCACCCTCTGGTGGGCTACGGGTTCTCCCATCTTCTCTAGAAAAACCCGGTGCTGACCCAGGGATCTTAAATAACTTCCAGCCACAAGCGAAGTGACCTAGTTCTCCCCCTCTCAAAAATCAAGAAAAAATTGGGGTGCAAGGAAGCCAAAGCAACATCTAAAGCTAATCCCTCCCCCAATTTCCTATCTTAAGCAGTTAAGATAATAGCATCTCCTTTCTACTTCCCTTTTCTGCAGTCCGCAAACCCCGCTACGTCAGAAGAGAGAGGTCACTGATGACATCCGGTACCAGCACAACTATTTCTGCAGAGACCAGAGTCAGCAATGTGTAGCAGCCAGTCTTTGGAGCCCTGAGGAATTGTAAATACTGGCGTGGGCGGCACGGTGCCCATGCACCCGGTTGCTAGCAAAAGTGCCAGGAAAACAGCTGAGAAAGTGGCCGGCTGGGAAGAGGGAAAAGATGCCAGCAGCTTTGCATCCAACGGGCTTGTGCCAATGAAGCATGGAACGAAGACTCACGATCAGAGGAGTTCCGGAGAGGGGAGCCAGTTCAGTTAACTGCTCTCAGGCAGGCTGCCAATTCTGTTTTCTTTCCTGGATCGTAGCGAAAGACTCTCCGCTCCCCTTTTGGGACGCTGCGTGCTCACTGCACAGCCTCTCCAGCTCCACCATCGTCTCTCTGACTGTCAGGATTTGGAGGTCTGGTTGGCAGCCTAACTCCTGCACTGCTGGGCCATTTCTTTTTGAGGAGGTGAACTGGCTTGCGGTGCCCGCTGCTCAGTGCGAAACACAAAAGTGCCATGTTTTTTTAATGCCGGTGGGAAGCGTTTGGCATCCCTTAATGCAAAATTTTGCAGCATGCCTTCAGGTTCTGAGATGCGAGCTGGGCTGCTAGCCAGGAACTGCTCTTCCAGCGCACCATGCAAGTCGCTTTCTCTCTTTTTAAACAAGTGGGTTTTGAACGAGGCCTTAAGCTTATTGCAGTGTTGTCGTCGCCGAGCCACTGAAAGATTTTATTTTCTTCTCCCGCTTCCTCTGTATTTCATGATGGTGGGCAGTAGAATTTCCTTCCAGGTTTATCCGCTGAGCACACCCACCTCTAGGAGGCTCTGCTGGTTTTTTGATGTGTGTGCTTCACAGCGCACGGAGGCAAGAGTGGCCAAACAAACCATTGTGAGCAAGAAGCACACTCAGTGGCCTCTCATCTCCAAATGTTTGGAACAGGAGAGGTGGGAATTTGCAAATGCTGCAATAGTTGATCCATTCGTTTTGCATTTTTGCACTCTGTTTTCCTACTCCTCAAGCTCTGCATCCATCGCGGGGAACCTGCAGCCCTCCAGACTGGTAGACTACAGTTCCCATCATCTCTGATGGTTGGTTGTGTGTCCTAGGGCTGGCGAGGGCTGGGAACATCCAGCAACATCTGAAAGGCCACAGGTTCCCCACCCCGGCTTTCTGTATCCTTTATATCAGCAGTAGTGAAGCTGGTGCTCTCCAGCTTTGATGGCACTACAACCCCCATCATTTCTGGCTCTTGGCCGTCCTGCTGGGACTGATGGCGGTTGTAGTTAAGCAACATCCGGAGAGCACCACAATGGCTTCCCCTGCTTTAGATGATGCCTGGTACCTTTTACAGTACCGTTCAGTGGTGGCGACGCAGTGTCAACTGTGCCTCCATGTTTCTTGTCTCCCTAAGAGCCAGAAAACCTGCTCCCCATCTCTGGCGTAGATTTCACAACGCAGGTGCATTTTTTGACCCTCACAGACTAAAGGGTCCTTCCTGCCTGTCCAAGGAGGATACAGGATGCGGTCAGGATAAGTGCAGAAATGTCTCACGGTGGGGGCACTTTAATCTCTTTGGGTTGTATCCTACTCAGAGTAGACCCATTGAAATTAACCTGAGCCTTGCTCCTTCATATCAGTGGGCCCACTCTGAGTAGGACATCATTGTATGCAACCCTCTCATTTATTTAATGAGCTAAGATGTAGCTTTGAAATGGTCCTTCCTAAGCTTGGAGCATCCTCATTTTCTTCCGTTTATGCGTTTTTAAACAATGCTTTTGAGCCTCGTCAGGATGAAAGCAGGGAGGGGGGGGAGAGACATCCTCACACCTCCCTGAGTTTTTAGATTGCTACAAATCCAATGTAGAACCACCCAAGGAGGTATCTCTGACTTGGTCTTCACAGAAGACTCTGCAGTCCACAACCTTCCTCCAAAGGCAAATGGTTTATTTCTGTATGGGGAGTCCTCAACCTTCACTTGCTTATATTTATATCTTTTATTTAAATGCAGGTGCCATTTCTTGAGATCAGAATCCTGAGGGGTTTTTGTATATTAGCTTCTCTTCTTGTCCCCCCCGCCTTTTACAATCTCTCAGATTCCCCGCAAGTGAAAACACGACTGGGAAGAGACCAGCGGAGATTCCAAAACTACTTCTCCCCCCCCCCCCCCCGGGTGGACACATTACTATGCAATGATGCCATGCAAGGAAACAGCCTCCCCTTGCTCGGATGCAATCTCCCTTTTTGTAAAGTCAGTATGCTCCCCTTCCTTGTGCATTTAGGTTGGTGGTGCTGCCCTTTCAGCCCAGACAAAAGTCCTTCTTTCTGCTAGGCTGCCTGATGCCCTGCCTTGACCCCAAAGCACATGCCTCTACTTTCTAATAGATGGTTGAAGTCACTCTGATTGTGTGTGTGTGTGTGTGTGTGTGTGATCACACCGTTCAATGCAGGGAAATCTGTTCTTACTTGCCAGTGTAGTTGTGGGGGGGGGGTTGTATCTCCTGTTGTGCCATTCTAGTGGAAAAGAGGCAAGTGTGGGCTGCTTTATTATTATTTTTTTACTCCCACTGTTGTGTCAGATGCAAACTTGTCTTTGTGTACATCTCTCCCCACTCCCTTACTTTTCCCTTTCACTGGCTTTAATAAAAGCACACAAAGTCCTGAGTTCGGTGTATTAATTTTTCAAGCTGGCTGGTTTGGGCACTTGCCCCTAGTTTTGGAAACGAGGTGCTAGGAGTTCTCCCTCTTCAGGTCAGAGGTGGGCATCGTGGGGACAAATTACCATTCCTATGGCAAATGGGGATTCGATTTTCCGAAGTCTCTGTCAAGCTTATGCATGCAGATTCTGTCTTCATTCCCATCTTGCTCCTTGATCTTGACAATCAGCAAGTTGGTGGGGTGTTTCTCTCCCCCCCCCAATTATATTAAAAAAACAATGTGCATAATATATTCTCATGCCTATATTATACATATTTAAACTGCAGGCTTCCTAAAGTAACCAGCACAACCATGAATTATTTTTAACTGCATAAAAATACTTTCTGTATTAATGCGACCATATAAGGGTTGTAGCCCGTGCAAGTCCTACTCAAGAGTAGACTCGTTGAAGTTAATGCAAGTGACTGCATTAATTTCTGTGGGTCTGCTCTTAATAGGACTTGGTTGAATGTAACCTGTTGCACTATGTGGTGCTTTTATATTATATTTAGATAGAAGACTCTTTTGCATATACTTAGGCTTTCTTTAAAGATCTGCTTCAATACCTTGGCCCAGTGGTCAGTACGAGAAGTGGTTCCCTGCAAAGCTTGATCCGGTCAGATCAGTTAAATCCCATGTATATATCCATTTAAAACAGATTACTTCTCCCACCTCAGTGGTGAATGAAAGTTCCCTGCATTGTATCGAGGATAGTATACAGCAGGGCTCATCTAAACTTAGTCCCTGTGGTGTAGTGGTTAGAGTCCTGGATTAGGGCCTGGGAGACCAGGGTTCAAATCCCCATTCAGCCGTAAACCAGAAGCTTTCTTATTACGGTAGGTATTACAGTGGTGCCTCGCAAGACGAAATTAATTCGTTCCGCAAGTCTCTTCGTCTTGCGAGTTTTTCGTCTTGCGATGCACGGTTTCCCATAGGAATGCATTGAAAATCAATTAATGCGTTCCTAGGGAAACCGCCTTCAGACCAGGTCCGGGGACAGTCTGTCCCCCGACCTCTTCTGAAGGCTGGGGGGGGGGCAAGGGCCTTTCTTCCCACCCCCAGCATTTTAAAAAACCCCGGGACAGCGGAGGACGTCTCCGCTGTCCGGGGCGATCTTAAAATGCTGGCGGGCGGCATTTTAAAATCGCCCGGGACAGCGGAGGACTTCTCCGCTGTCCGGGGCGATTTAAAAGCCCCTGGGAAGGCAGGCAGGGGGGACAAAGACTTTTGCCCCCGCCTGCCTTCAGAAGAGGTCCAGGACCTCGTTCCGTTGCCGGGCGGCGGGGGGAGGCGTTCCCGCCCCGGCATCGGGGCATCGTTACGATGCCCGGCGGCGGGGGGAGAGCTTCCCGCCCGCCGCCCGGCATCGTGCCGGGCGGCGGGGTGAGAGGTTCCCGCCCGCCGCCCGGCATCGGGGCATCGTTCCGATGCCGGGCGGCGGGGTGAGAGGTTCCCGCCCGCCGCCCGGCATCGGGGCATCGTTCCGATGCCGGGCGGCGGGGTGAGAGGTTCCCGCCCCACCGCCCGGCATCGGGGCATCGTTCCGATGCCCGGCGGCGGCGAGAGGAGGTGTCCCCGCCCCGCAGCCAGGCTTCGGAGGAGGTCCAAGGACAGCGGGGAAGACGCGCTGCGCTTCCCCGCTGTCCCGGAGATTTCCCTATGGGCTGTCATCTTGCGAGGCAAGCCCATAGGGAAATTCGTTTTGCGAAGCGCCTCCAAAACGGAAAACCCTTTCGTCTAGCGGGTTTTCCGTCTTGCGAGGCGTTCGTCTTGCGAGGTACCACTGTATAGGACAGGAATTGCCAAAACAACAGAAGAAGCTTTTCGTGTATGCTACAACAGCCGCTAGGACTCTGTTAGCCCAAAAATGGAAAGACGACAAGATACTAACGAACGAAGAATGGCAAGTTAAACTTATGGAATACGCAGAAATTGCAAAACTTACAGGTAGACTTAGGGATAAAGACAACAGAGACTTTTAAAAAGACTGGGAATATGTTGTATTTACAGAAATATTGTAATGAAATGGACTCGCTAGCATGCTTTGAGTAAACACAATTAAGAAAGCATGAGCAAAAGTCAAGAAATAATAATATGGAAATTAACTAAATATAAGAGGTAATTTGAAGAAAATTTGAGATGAAGAATATAAGAGCACTTAATTAAAAGATGGAAAATAAGACAAAAATTTAACAGAAGCAGTAAATAGTTAACCAGAAGTTGGGGGAAGTCATGGGGTGGGGGGAGTTTTGTTTTATTGCATTTCTTTTATATGATAAAGGTGTTGAATATCAAAATGTAAGCTTAATAAAAAATTATGTTTTTAAAAAATCCCCACTCAGCCATAAGAGTATGACCTCGTTGCCTCTCAGCCTAACCTCTATCCCACAGAGTTGTTGTGGGGATTAAATGGAGAGGAAGAGAAGTGCGTACGCCACTCTCCGCTCCTTGGGATATGGATGTGGTAATAATAAACTATTGGAAGTTCTTTAGCAAAAGGGGGTGATCCAATATAGCAGCTGTCTGTAGGCAAACATGAGGCCTACAGACTTGAGGCTGAAGTGCAGAGGTGAGGTGTGTACCAGATTTTGCCAGACTTCTTTCTCATGGCAGTTTTTCTATGCTACATGCCTGGGGCCACATCCGCACCACGCATTTAAAGTGCCATGATAACACTTTAAGCTTTCGTGGCTTTCGCCCAAAGAATCCTGGAAACTGTAGTTTGCTGTAAAGTTGCAAAGAGACCCCTGTTCCTCTCACAAAGGTATAATTCCCAGAATGGTTTAATCGTCAGTCCCTCTTCCCAAGGAACTCCTCCAGGAATTGTAGCTTTGTGGGGGGATGAGGGGGGGTCCCCTAACAGCTCCCAGCACCCTTAACCAGCTGGGCCTTTCCCCTGAACCTCTTTCCATCCATCAATAACTGCCTTATCCTCTGTCATTTTGTGGCATCACAGGCAGTCCAACGCCAGTGGCAACAACTGAGGAACCAGTGTCTTCAGACCTCACGGTTGTGGGTGCACCTCAGCAAGTTGACTTAATTGTGTGTTTATTATGAATAAATGATCATAGCCCACTCATCATCTGTACTGCTAATGGGTGGGGGAACATCATAAAACTGGTGCTGGGGTTTTGGGGGTTTTTTGGAACAAGGGCTGCATTCCAAACCTTCCAGGGACTCTATTCCAGTGCTGGGAAAGGTCAGAGGCATAGGGAAGTAGAGCAATGAATGTGACTCTTCCCTTTGCGCCATCTGTGCAAAAGTCTTAAAAGAGTATTTTTTTTTTACGCCCCCCAATCTCTCAATCCAGTTAAACAGGAAAGATAACCGCAGTTCAAGGAAACTTTCCAACCAGAGTTCCCTGGGAAGAGGGGACTGAACCATTCTGGAGAATTGTACTTCTGTGAAGGGAATTGAGGCGGGGGGATGGCAGTTTCCTAACAACTCTCAGCACCCTTAATAAACTACATCTCCCAGGATTTGAGGTGGGGAGCTATGACTGCTTAAAGTGGCATGATACTGCTTTTAAAAGTATGGTGTGAATGTGACCTTAAAGTCAGTTCCTGGCTCTAGTAGTGGAAGTTGTGGTCCTTGTGATGTCATGTGCCCTCCTGCCCTCTAGAGGGAGCATTGTCACTGTGGTTAGCTACCTTAGAAAGGACAACCATTCATTTCCAGAGTAGAAAGATCGCATCAAATGAGCCCAGCAGGATCTATCACTCTCTTTGCACAACACCCAACCAGACGATTGATTGATTGATTGATTGATTGATTGATTGATTGATTATTTAATTTCTATATCGCTTAATATATGAAAGATATCTCTAAGAAAATGAAGCAAAAACAGACAGCTTAAACAAAATATAACAAAAATACACAGTTACATATGTGCCCCTGGGGCAATTTCCAAGAGGACACAGCTCTCTCTTGCTCATAGGTAAAGGTAAAGGTACCCTTGCCCGTACGGGCCAGTCTTGCCAGACTCTAGGGTTGTGCGCCCATCTCACTCAAGAGGCCGGGGGCCAGCGCTGTCCGGAGACACTTCCGGGACACGTGGCCAGCGTGACAAGCTGCATCTGGCAAGCCAGCGCAACACACGGAAACGCCGTTTACCTTCCCGCCAGTAAGCAGTCCCTATTTATCTACTTGCACCCGGGGGTGCTTTCGAACTGCTAGGTTGGGTTGGCAGGCGCTGGGACCGAACGACGGGAGCGCACCCCACCGCGGGGATTCAAACCACCAACCTTTCGATCGGCAAGCCCTAGGCGCTGAGGCTTTTACCCACAGCGCCACCCGCGTCCCTGCACAGCGCCACCCGCGTCCCTCTTGCTCATGGTCTTCAGCAAATGGTAATTCAGAGTCACTTTGGAAAGAAAAGAAGCATTCTTGGAACTCTCTTTGCTGGAGGTGAGGGGGGGATGTTAATGCTTTTACTGGCTCCCTTATTGGCGTCTGCGGGAGAAAATGAAGAGGCTGTCACCCTAACACTTCTAGTTTGTTCATAAAATATTCACAGCGGTGTAGGGAAAGTTGAATGAGCCACACACAGGCAGAAAAAGAAAAACTTGACACACGGTCAAAGCAGCTTGATTTACACAATGGTTAAAATCAATTTTGGGGTTTTTTAAAAACCACCAAAGGTAGCGGGAGAACAGCGTGGTGTTGAAAACATCTACTTGAGTGCCCAAAAAACCCACACCACCCTTTCTTTTTTTCACCCTGTAAGGTCTGTCTTACTGTAAAATATTCGCCGAAAAGCTTTTGAGGGGTTTGTGTGGCCCACTGTGAAAACTGCACTAAGCTGTGTTGTCAAAGCAAGGAGATGATCATGTACTATTCAAAGTGAAGTGATATCGGGGGAAAGAAGAATGAAGAGTGGGGGGGTGAGAGAAATCGTTTTAAAAAGCACTTGAAGGCAAATTTGTCAGTTAACCAGCCCCTGACCGAAACAGAATGACCTTCGTCAA